CTGTCTTACATAACTTCCTCATGGAAACACTACTAACAGTTGAATATCTTCTATCTTGTCAGCAAAACCAGTCCTCCTTCATTGTCTCTAGCACTTTTCTGAGTGGAAGTCAATTTGTTGTTTATTTAATTAGTAATGGGTATCACTCAGCTCATAAATGTAAGAATTTCCCGAGCTAGATGATCTGGAGCTTTGGAGTCAAAATATTATCTCAACAATAGATGTCTACCTGGAGGTGAAATCTATTACCTATTGATACACCTGACTGGACTATTCTCATACAGGATACAATAGATGCATATATGCAGATGAATTCTGTATTTGTCTTAGTTGGTATTTATCCAGTAGACCTATCATTAATTTATACATCTAATGCAATAGAAGATTTGCTCCATAAATCAGACAGAAAAGATTTTGTGATCCACCCAGAAACAATGGGAGCAGAGCACTATTTACACAACATTCTCAACAACCATGAAATAAGGGATCATCCTTCATAAATACCTCTTTTCATTTAGAAAATTTAACACAGGGAAAATATCAATTCCACCCAGGCAGGAGCCTCTGGTCCCCTAAAAGGGTCATCCTGATGTGGCAACTAGGTAGGCAAGAGTTTCCCCAAAGGTTTCCCTGTTGGCTTGCAGTTCGGGTCACCAGTTGCCATCTTTTAGGCTTTTAGTTATTATACTATATTATTTAATGTACAATTTTAAGTCAAGCAAGCTATTCACCTAATCACAGAGGGAAATGCTAGTTAACCTCAAAAGTGTTAACTCCACAAATCACCACACCATATTGTTCTGATCATGTTCTGATAAAGCCCAAGTTAGATATATAAAAACATATATTCCATTCTAAGGTGTCTTTTCCATTAGGGAAATACCTCAGTGAATATAAAGTAATTACATTTTGTTATACTCTCATCAATCCTACAGAAGTCATTCTCCCCCAAAATCTGGGCTACAGCTGTCCCTTTAAAGTTTGGGAATATTGTTTGACATATGAATTTGCAACTACTTTTTGTCATACAAGCCTGATGTATTATGCATTTTGAAACAGAAGTCGTGTTTTACCTCCTGGCTGTCAATTCAAAGACTGTAGGGAGGTTGTGTAAGGAAACTTGGCAAAGCAAATATATATACTTTAATCATTTCTGTAATTAAAAGGAGAATGGATTCCAGAGGGATTTTCCCCAAACAAACATCTTCTCCCTTTGCACTTCCTACAAGTTGAAACTTACATTACTCTGCCTTCTATAGGGTTGAAGAAAGTTTTCAAACTCTGAAATATTCCCCTCAGTGGGTTTTTATGTTCCAGCACGAAACAAGATTACCTGCCAACCTTTCATAGGAACAAAATAGGAATATCTAATCTCGCATCAGTACTTCTACAGGCTGTACCAGAATCCATCATAAGGTGAAAACTTTATTTATTTAGATTTTTACTGGCCTGATTGGATGCTACTTCACAAACATCCTTGTGAAGAAATATCAGACAGTCTAAACCTAAGAATGTAATATGTTTGTTCAATTCATCCTTGCCGTTTCTCAGTTTGTTTTTCTTTTTAGTCTGTCCTGAATATCATATTTTAGATTTTGAGATGAGGCAGGGATCCAATCCATGATTTCCTTTCATTGTTGGCTTAGGGTATAATGCTTTTCCAGATTTTGTGATATAATGATAGATTTCTGTATCACTATGGAGACACAATGCTAAATACCTACAGATGGATTTCATCACATTACCCACTGATGAAAGGAATGCATGAAAAACCCCATAGCCAAAGATGGGGAAGGCATAGGGAATGGCCTTGAAGGACAGGAGAAAGAGCCACCACCAACGCAAAGGTAGTCAACCAAGAAACTGACTTGACTAAATGTCTCTCAGACAAGCGCCTCCTTAGTTCACACAAAGATGAAGAGGTGTACAACCTTAGCGTGGTCAAGGACTGCAAAGTGACTGAACACAAGTTTGTGTGAGATTGACTTATAAACTGATATATTAGTTTTTTCACGTATTACTGATAAAGGATAATTTTGTAGCTCTGGGTTGATATGAAGCTCCTTGATGCTCTCTGAGCTTGGCTGTATTCTTGAAGATGTTTCATTACCCAAAGTAGGTAACATCATCAGTATTACTAAGGAATAGGATTTGCTCTCAATTTCTATTCTAGTGGCTTCCCTGTCAGTGTTGGTGGGAGTGGTCTTCAAAGTTCTTTGGTTCGGCAGTTTACACTTAGCTTGAATAGGGTATTGTTTGTTTCTTGATTGTTGAGCTAATGTTAATCTTGGTGTCAATCTATGCTCAACTAGATGTTGGTCATTGGTTGGAAATTGTTTTGGCCTTTATGATCCTCTTTTGGCTTGTTGATTGTCTCTTTTGCATAGTATGTCGATATTGTTTATGTCTTTGTATCGATTGATGGTTGATTTGTTGGATTGCCCTGTAGAAAAGTCTACAGTGTAAAGACCACAACAGCTACTACGGAAGACAAACAGGCAGAAGACTAGCACCAACTAACAGTCAAAAATGATGAAAACTCCTTAATTTCACAACAGTTGGACAGACTTAAGGATAGTTTCAACTGGGAAACCATGATCATCCTAGACAAGTCAAATCCCAAAAACACTAGAGAATTCCTGGAAGCCTGGCACTTTAACAAATTACCTTGAGAGCAATTGCATACTGTTGCATTCTGATATGACATGCAAGTACATAAGGATTGGATTGTGTTTACTCATTTGCATCTCCATGTTGTGACAAATATTTGCTATGGGCTATTAGAATTCCAAGAGTGCTCAAAGAAGCTAAGGATAAACATACTAGAAACTTAGTAAACTTATGGTTAGTATTCTGTCTTTGCCCTCCTTGACAGTCATGATTCATTGCATTTATACACAGTGTTCATTCCTACAGGCCAGAACACAACATGTCTCTGAAGAAAGAAAGCATACTATCCCAATTTTTTGTCTTTTTCAAATATTAAAATATGAGACAGGAAAAAAGTAATCTTTTTTCTCTGGCAGAGAGAAAAGTAAACAATCCATAACAGGGGGGGAAAAGTTATCCCAACAGTTTTCATAGTATTTATTGGCAAAAAAAACCCAACCCTCTGATATGAATATCAACATGCTAAAGATTTTAGGGAAGAAAATAGGTTTTTGTTTATTTGTTCATTTTTGGGAAATAAATGCTCTTCAATTCCTGCAAACCCAAAAAAGTTGATTGAATTGCCTTTTGAATTCTCAGAATTTGCAGTTCAATCAACTTTTGATTTATTTTCATCATTCTTTGTGTTGCGATAACCACTCCCTTAAAGATAAAGGTTCCCCTTGCACATATGTGATAGTCGGTCCCGACTCTAGGGAGCGGTGCTCATCTCTGTTTCAAAGCCGAAGAGCCAGAGCTGTCTGAAGACATCTCCGTGGTTATGTGGCTGGCATGACTAAACACCAAAGACACACAGAATGCTGTTACCCTCCCACCCAATTTTTCGACTTTCATTTTTTATGTGCTTTCAAACTGCTAGGTTGGCAAAAGCTGGGACAAGTAATGGGAGCTCACTCCATTACGCGGCGCTAGGGATTCAAACCACCAAACTGCCAACCTTTCTGTTCGACAAGCTCAGCATCTTAGCCACTGAGCCACCACGTCCCAATTCCGCATCACCACTCCCTTAAATCAACTTAAACTACCTTAAAAGAGATTTCTCATTTTTAAAAAACTCAAAGGTTCTTATGTGCCTCATGAAATATTGAGTACTGATGCAATTCTTTAAAAAGATGGTTTAGAGCTACCACAACTATATAGAATTGGTTGTAGCACTCAATGTTCACCTTAGCAAACAAAAACAAAAACAAAAAAAAGCCAATACATTTGTATCTCTATGATATTCAGCAAATCGGGAAAGGAAAATATTGTGGAATATTAAAATTCTATGTGAAAGTTTTACATAAAGTGGAAATACAGGACCATGAAACGGAGTCTAACTTGTACTATCTGTTGTGATATAAAGACAATACATTTCTATGAACATTCCACAAACATTGGGTGCTCATAAGTGTTTACTGGACAACTTTAGATTTATTTTAAAAACTGAGTGGTTGGAGTTTTTTTGCACTTTCGCATTTGTAAATCAAGTTTTATCAACATTCAATAAACATTAAATATCTGTATATCCTTAATAGGCATTTTAAAAACCATTTCAATTTATTTTTCTGTGTTTACAGGAAGACGCCAAATAATAATTTATATCCTTATTTTTGTGTCCCTTGCTTTTTTATCTAATAGAGTGATCCCACTCAGGTTCCACACCAGACCTACAAAGTGATAATGCTTTCAGCTTTCAACAGCTTGAATTCCAGGAAAGAATCTAAGGACATCCATTCTCCCCTCCACCTTTATGCCAATGGGGGCTACTATTCCCTCCCCAGCTTGCCAAAGAGCTGTTTAATCGGTGAAGAAAAGCAATGGAGTGGGCTTGAAAGCACTAGGGCCAATGAACCTAAGCCTGTTTTACTGATTAGGATTACAATTAGAATAATTCTCCCTAAATCTCTCAGCAACAGGGAAAATATTATCTTAACAAGAATTACTAAGGAAGAGGGCTTGAATAGTTAGCATACTTTACTATTCCACCAGCTGGTAAGTAACCCTCAACCAGGCCAAGTGAAGGAAGTCATAGAGGAAATAGACAAGGAACTCACTGAATCCACAGAGAGCCTACATGAATTTCAAAGAATCAGGATTCGTCATTCCAAATAGGATAGCCATCTTCCAGATCAAAGAGCATTCTAAACAGTTAATATGACATGCAAGCATTAGGATTTAAGGTAGAAATTTAGAGGATGAAAAATACCAAAGAAAGAAGCTGCCCTATCTCTATCCATTTTATTTTTCCCCCCGATGACATACACACATGTAGGATGTGCATATGCATGTACATATACATATGCACACTACTATCGTATTAATTTGATGGTATATGACAGGATGCTTGCCTGAATGTAAAGCTGTTCTACCTATCCGGATGGACAGTTCATTTTCATACTCCTGACGATCCGTGGCCTGATGTTCGTATTTCTCCTTGATCACTCTTGAATCATAATTTAAAGCCAGTGATGTTTGAGGAGACACATTGATATCCTGAAAGACAGAAAACAAATCAAAATGCACATTTTATTTTCTTTCGTTCTTTTTAATGCCATTCAGCCCAATTTTATGCTATATTCTTCCAGAAGAATTAATCTGACATACATGTCTACATCCAAGCACAGTGAATCTTAATACATTTCTATATCTGATGTTTCAACTAGCTTTGCTGTTGTCAAAATTATATACTACTTTGTTTAAGGTAGTATGGGTACACAGGGAACAGATGCTGTCAGACAAATGTGCTTTGCTATCTCAGCTCCAAGAGTCACATGAATATAAAAACTTTATACAATAGACACTAGTCTGAATATGGCATCTAGCAGCTGAGGTGACACTGAATTAGCAACACATAATATTGGTTATATTCATTTATACATCACTACCTCATTTTTAAAAATTACTTGCCACTTTATAGTGATTCTTCCTTAAACATTATAGTGGGATACGGGATGTGAGTGCCCTGGAGTCAAAAATAAAAAGTCTGTTTAGTCTGGGGAAAAGAAGATAATAGGGAAATAATATAGCCATAAGACTACAATGTAAGACAATTCCTCAGAAGAGACAAATGGGACATCGGGAGGGAAGGGATCCTAATAGATTGCCGCTGGATGTGGATCAGGTGAGTCTTTTTGCTAGAGATACTTAAACAGAGATTGGATGACCACCTCCCACATAGACTGTCATGGTGGATTCCTATACTGGGCCAGACTAGATAATCTCCAAGGTCCCTTCCAATGGTTAATTATGAATAATTCTAGGACTTCTTTCTTCAGCCCAACTTTTGAAAGAAAATTAGAAGAAGGGTGTTGCCCAAAGCTCAATACAGTAAGGGCCTTTCTCCACTTATACCTAACAATTATACCAACATGCCATAGCAAGATTGTTTTTTCTGCCATGATCCCAGGGTGTTGCCTTGGTTTTGTTCCCATCTTATATGTGAAATTAAATTATCCATAGTTGAATCTGGGTTAAAGTAAGAGTCCTTTCCTCTTATTTTGACACTGTTCAAGGAAAGTTCCATGGGGTGTAAAATCTATTAGGCTTTATCACCCATTTCCCTGCAGAGAAATTAATAGACTGAAAAGTACATGGGAACAGAGGTAAGAGAAGCACCATAGCAATGGAGACAGCCAAACTCATACAAACTCAAAGCATGAGTGGAGCTTGCTGTAACTCAACAATAGGGAAATATATTATTAATAGCTGTGCAATATCTTAAGAACCAAAAGTGGGCTTCGCAACAGAGAGGTCCTATACTGGGAACGTCACTGTTGGGAAATGTTTTAAGGAACAATTCTCTTTTAAAATAATGCAACTTAATTATCTATCTAGAAAAAAGAGTGTATCCAAGAAAAGTGATAATGTGGAAAGATATGCATAGCATTTCAAATAAAATCAGTACATCAGTCTAACTTACTTGCAGACTATCTCACTGAGTAGCAAGCTGGGTTTAAATCAGTGGTGAAATTCAATTTTTTTTTGCTACCGATTCTGTGTTGTGACTTGGTGGGCATGGCTTGGTGGGCGTGGGAGGGAAATGATACTACAAAATCTCCATTCCCACCCCACTCTGGGGCCAGCCAGAGGTGGCATTTACTGCTTCTCTAAACTACTCAAAATTTCCACTACTGGTTCTCCGAACTACTCAAAATTTCCACTACCAGTTCTCCAGAACCTGTCAGAACCTGCTGGATTTAACTCCTGGTTTAAATCATATGAAAAGTTATTTACAAAGAAAGGATTCTGAGGCATCTTGGTCTTCTGAGCAGCAAATGCCCCCGAAAAACCCCAAGGGAGTTCAAAATCACAAATGCATGGGTATCCAAGATCGGTGAAAGTATCAACTTTGTAGAAACTAACTAATGGTTTTCCCAATGATATGACAGCCTCTGTATTTCTGGTGTCAGTGGTCTAGTCAGCTTAAGGAACATGTACTTGAATGATAAAGGGTTGCTTTTTATACAAAAGAATTTAAGTTCTATCCAAATTAAGGCTTTGCCTATTCATGTTCCAGGGCTGAAGACCACCCAAATATCAGAGCATATCAATCAGTCATTATGATATCTGTATGTTATTTATTCACTATCTGTCTCTACCTTCCATTTTACCATTTAATTTTTGAATAGAAATGGTTTGAATAATCACAATATTATAATGATAAATGATAAGTATTTCACGTCATAACTATAAATGATTAGTAAAGGACAAGTAGATATAAAATATAATGTCCAATGAACCTTAACATCATACACTGTATGTGTAATTGGAGAAATCTGTCTGCAGTTCTGTTATGGAATAATGGATGCCATCTGACCTGGAACATATCCATTTTATCATCCCCTTCTTAGCTAATTTCACAGTATGTGCAATACCCAAATCATGAAAAAACATTCACTGGAAAATTTCTAAATACATTGTTAAATGATGCTATTTTGCCCCCATAAAATAGAGGTGCTGGGACAAAACCCAAGAAAAAGATCAATATAGTATAAGGAAGATATAGGAAGAGTTACTTTTTGAAATTAGATTATTTCTAGTTCTTTTCTTTTTGTTTCATTCATTCACTCATTCATTCATTGCTAGATAATGAATTACCGTATTTTTCGGAGTATAAGACACACCTTTTTCCCTGAAAAAAGAGGTTGAAAATCTGGGTGCATCTTATACACTGAATATAGCATTTTTTGCCTCCCAAAACACCACCCACTTCACCAAAATGGCCATGCATAGCCTTTAGGAGGCTTTCAGAGTGCTCCTGGGGGCTGGAGAGGGCAGAAAGGAGCGAAAAATGGGCCATTTTTTGCTCAATTTTGCCCCCCTTCCCTAGGCCCCAGGAGCACTCTACAAGCCTCCTAAAGACTATTCATGCCTCTTTTGTGGGGGGGGGGAACGGGCTTGTTTTTGCAAAAAAATAGGCTATTTTGGGGAGATTGCAGAGTGCGAAACCTTTTTTAAAAATTTTGCCTCTTCAAAACTTTGGTGCGTCTTATATTCCAGTGCGTTTTATATTCTGAAAAAATATGGTAACGTGACCATCACAGATTTCTTTCTGTGTGCTCTGCTTCTGCTCATATATCATGTGTTCTAGGCTTCATGTGTTATTCTAAAAATTCTTTTACTATATATTTCATATGCAAGTCTACAAGGTACATTCACCTGTACTCTTGGGAAGTTTAAAAGTGTAAAGAAATATTTTTTTAATGTTTGAATGATATTTATTTCCAAACCCATAAGGAATTGCTTCTAAAATGATGGAATAGAAATGTGTGTTCCTTACAACATTATTCAGTGGCTTGTCACCAATTTACAGTAATATGAACTTGGGAGAACTCAAGGGACTGTGAAAAATGGATCTGTGGTTGCAACTGCCATATTTGATATAGAGAATTAAAACGACAAGGAGGGAACTCAACTTGATGCCCTCCCCTCAATATTAAATGTGTATATGGAAGGATATTAGTGTTTTCCCATCATATCAAGTTCAATTCCCCACAGGAATGAAACAGCAACTTGTCTCGAACAGGAGAATCCAAGACTCCAGTTATAAGAGACAAACACAAAAACCACTTAACCACAGCAGCTACTTCAGAATTTATTTTTATTTTTTTTACAAAAAACAGCTGAATTTCTGATTCTGTCGGGGAGAAAACACTCTGAAATATATATTCTGTGCCATGTATGAACAACCCCAAAAGTGTTAGTTTTTCATTTGGTTGACCAGAATTATCAGAAAGAGGCATGGGAAATTGGCTATTTTGGAAGCAGTTGTTTTGAAGAACAAACCACAAAGCCAGCTTGGTATAGTGGTTAAGGTGCTGGTCAAGAAACTAGGAGACTGTGAGTTCTAGTCCTGTCTTACAGATGAAAGTCAGTTGGGTAACTCTGGGCTAGTCACTCTCTTTCAACCCAACTCACTTCACAGGGTTGTTGTTGTTGTTGTTGTTGTTGTTGTTGTTGCTGCTGCTGCTGCTGCTGCTGTTGTTGTGAGCAAAATAAGAGGAGAAAAGTGTATTATGTGTGCAGGATCCACTCTGGATTGGTCACCAGGAGCAGAGGTTTAACATTCTGAGCTTTCAGACGCGTGCTGGAGCCCATCCTCAGGGAACTTCTCTCTAGCAGAGTGAATGCTTTGGGTTATTCTGTGGGTGATATTTACTATATATAGTGCCTGATTGTGTATGGCTTTTTAGTTGTGATTGGGGTGTTGATGGCCAGCTATTAAGCCATTGGCTGTTGTTTCCTTATGCTGCCAAACCCTTGCCTCCTAAGTACTTGATAAATCTGATGGTAAATCAGCACTCCTGTTGACTGACAAGGGGCCTCCAAGAATAAAACATTCAGACATAAACTGAGCAATGTGGTACACTTTGCAATGCAATAAGACAGGTGCAGATCTGTACATTGGGGAAACAAAACCACCAATTCACAAACACCCAGCACAACACAGGAGGACAAACACATCAGGACAAGATTCATCAGTACATCTGCATCTGAAAGACAAAGATCACTCTTTTGAAGACAGCAAAGTCCACATTCTGAACAAAGAGGTCCACTGGTTTGAAAGAAGGGGTCAAAGAGGCAATCTAGATTAAAACTGAACAGCCATCTCTCAACAGAGAGGGTGGGAAACAACTTCACCTTATCCCTTGTCAAAAACACAGCCATTTCAGCAATCCCAAGAAGGTTCCATACCCATTTGCACTCTGTTTCAGGTGACTTTGAAGATACAGATAAACCTCCAAGTGGCTTCAATAACTCTCATTGAGCCAAACACCAACGTTCAGAATGCTAATGACCAGATAACTGCTAAGAAAAAATAAATCCTTCTACTCCCCACCATTCTGGAGTATTGAAGAAGCTTCTTGGATAAGAAGCAAAATATTTTCAAGAAAAAAAATCAAGGAAATCCAATTGCCTTTAGAAAAAACATCTTTGGGCACAGACAGTCAAGAAATCAAAATGATGGGTCATCAAACAAATCCACCCAGTGT